TTGTACATCTAGATAAATCCCTAAAATTGTACTATCTCATATGAAAGCTTAATCTTGACTCAAGATATATTAAATGTCGATAGACAGCTGTCACAATTAAATTGGGCTGTGATATAAGATGCAGAAACATGTGTGAGCGAAGAAAGAGCTACCAAATTTTGAATTTTTCCACGACCCCCCCACCTCACACATGCACCACCATCCTATTCCTATCTTCTTCTATCGAACAAGGATGGGCCCACGTGATACGTGTCATTACCCCCATGTTTCTCGGGTCTATTCTTTGAACATTATCTTCTTGATCTACTTGTAATTGGTCCCTCGCTCCACCTGGGTATTGATGAACGATGCATCCCTCGTTCATTTTCTCCAAGGATCATCTTTTACCCCAAGATTTTCACTCCAAGCACTACTCATCTTAAGCCAACTCTCATGTTCCACTAAGATTTCGATTTCATCTTAAAAAGAGATTCTTATTAAAAGAATTACTTAAACCTAGTTAATGATTTTATATCTAATATACACTTGAAGGTGCCCCGTAAGATGATGATAGTTCATATGAGATTTAGATCAATAAATTGCTCGCTTGTGCATTAAGTCCCCGTTTAGCTCTCATTAAATTATAATTCATTTTTTTCTATCTTCTTATCAATTATACATTTTCCAATAAAATAATATTATACGTAAATCCAAAAACGTTTTCTTCTTTTTTAATCATATATTTCAAAAAATTACTATTTCTCTCATTATAACTTGGAATAATGGGTTCAAACGGGGGCTTAAGTTTCATTTTTAGAGGTCAACTTTATTAGCCCATGTTTGGTTCAGTTAAAAAAGTTGATAACAATGTAAACAAGAAACAATTAATTTTAATCATATATTTTATGGGGTCCATAACTTTTTAACTATGTATTTGATCATTTTTTATCAAAATATATTAAAAATCTGATTTTTATCGAAACCAAACGGGGCTTAGAAAAAAAAAAAGTTTATATGTTTCTTTTACCATTGAATACTAAGAGTTACAAGCATAAATGTGTACACTCTCAAACCAACTATAGTAAGCATCTTTCATGCATCTCATTTCTCAAAGAATATAATAAAATGGTAGCATTTGAAATGGAATATAAGGAGGGCTGCACGGTCTACTCCATATACGTATATACATACATAACATACATATATGAAGTTATAGGTTGTTGGGTGGTGGTGGAGGAGGAGGAGGAGGAGTGAGGGCCAAGGAAAAGACACGCGTGGGTGGCGCTGACACCCAGTAGGGAGGCAGAAACTACAGCACGAGCAGTGCACCCCTCTTCTCCTCCGGGAGATTCACTGTTGGATTAGTTAGTGAATAATTAAACTAAGTACTTATCCAGTTGTTGTTTTTGGGATTCTCTCTTTTCTCTTTTATATTTTTTATTTTGGTTACTGAAACCTATAATACATCTTTCCACAAACCCATGTAATAAAGATGCTCTTTGTCGGCTCTCTCTCTCCCCTTTTTCTCTCTGATACATAAGTTTGTGAGTTTTCTATGTCACTTGATATAGTTTAGAGACCTACACTTCGTTGGTTGTCACATTGTGGAAAGGACAATTTGTCGTGCTTCAATCGACCCATTTTGCGATAAGTTCGTTTTAGTTTTATATTAATGAAATTTGTAAGTGATTTGAGGATCATTCATGCAGGGGAATGAGCATGAGTCGGCTTTCAAGATTAATCACTCTCATGATCGGTGTGAATGTTGATATTTTTCTTTAGTAGCATCGACAAGACACTAAGAACGGAGTCCATCTATATACAAAAGAACTATTACAAGGCACATAAAGTAAAAATCAGTAACGAATGCAGTACGAAACTTACGACACGATCGAGAATTGGAGACGAGAAATAGAATATGCATGAGTAGTAGTACTCGAGAATAAACAAAAATAGTAAAAATTATGTATGAAGAGACGAAAGTCCTAAAGGATAATTACGAAGTTCAATAATCCTAAAGGATAAATTATTGCTTTATAAAATCAACTAGGATATGTCATTTTCAAAATTATTGATAGCAGGTGTTTGTTTATTCTTTCTCTTTTCCAAATGACTTGAGAGGTTCCTTGCCAAATGGAACAGACGTTGACCTTGACAAGGTCATAGCCAGAAACATAATAATTATGTTTTTAAATCTTTAAGAATTAAAATTAAGGTCATAGTTTATGTCCCTTTCCAGCTAGAAATTGGAAATTAATTTTGTTTTCATACATAACAATATCCATTTATGCGGACGACATAGACTATAAATTATCTAACAATATCTTGACTACATTTAGATCTATATTTGATTATTAACTTGTCATATCTTTATGAAAATTACAAATAAGTAAAAAACATATTTAGAGCAACCTAACATCAACGAAATATTGCATAAACCATAGCGGTTTATTATTGAACCTATCGAAGTCTATGTTATTTGTTATTTGATCGATCTTAATAATGTATATCATCTCTCGATATCAACATAGTTCATAATTCATTCAACTATTGGCCATACAACTGAAAGCAATAAAATCAATAACAAACAATTAGTCATAAACTCATATTTGAAGTCAAAAAATGAAAAATTGAGTTATAATTTCAAATGTGAGGTTTACATCATAGTCCTAGCTATTGAAACATGAAAGTTTAGTTATATATTTTGAGTAATTAAGCAAATAAGGGCTGAGCTCGACATCACCGAAATTGAGAATAAAGAGAGAAAAACACAAAGCATGAACAAATTTGGGGTGGAGATCGGTTTAGGGTTTGAAGATAGGAGACGAACAAATTTGAGAAAATATTAGAATGTCAATAATTCTGAACGAACAGGTCCACGTCGGCCCTATTCATGACATGGGGGTTGTTCGTGTAGCAAAACTCTTAGAATGTTTT